CAGGAGTCGAATATATGTAAAACGTTTCAAACAACTTCTTCTGAAGAACAGAAAGGTATAGAATCTTCATATTTTTATAGCTTCTTTTGGTTGAGCCAAAAGATTCCACTCCCACATCAATACCCACACATTTCTACCTGGAAAAGTTGTGAATATTCACTCAAAATATTTGTTCTTTATCTGGTAAAAAGCAGGATTGGTGTAAATCAATGGAAAAATCTGCAAATTGGCCACATCCTGTGGTCACTGGAGGGGCCAAGTCCTGTGATCACAGGAGGGGCCAAATCCTATGGTCGTCGAAGGGGCCAAATCCTGTGGTCTTGAACTCTTCCAATTCAAATAATCGTGGGAGGGGCCAAATCCTGTGATCGTGGGAGGAGCCAAACCCTGTTGTCACAGGAGGGCTAGGGTGTCCAGTGTAGTACAGAGTGCACGACTGTACATCAAATGAATCAAATAAGCACAGGAACATACCAATTTGACCTTTCACCTAAAAAGCTGTCAAATTGTGTATTGTCAGCAATATCTTTTTTCGTGTAGTACACGATTCTCCTGAAGAGCGCTATTTATCAGACAGATTTTCCGAAGGATAGTTTAGGGAATATGGTTTTTTAGTTAAACGCTATAGTTAAAACAGAGTTATGGTTCTTACTTTGTCTGCAGAAATAATAAATGTGTTTGCTAACAGCCCTGAAAATGGCTCCTAGTCAACACATTTGGTTGCTTGTATTTACTAGAGCTATCGGAGCGAGAAACATTATATATATTTTTTGTCTGCATTAGAAGTGGCTAGCATTGAATGAGTTAATGGATGTGAATAATTAATCCTGCAAATTGTTGTGGCGTGAAGGGACAAGTTGGAAGAAAAACTTATCCCGCTGTCCAAGATGGTAATTCTGTCGAAATCAATAGGAACACTTTGGAGGCCCATAAACTGTAATAATGTCTGATGGTCCCAGGCACGGCTTTAGAACAGTACTTTGGCATCAAGAGAACATACATAAATGATTAATCGGCATCAACAAAATATTCATGACGGACAGTAAAAGGCAGCATCTTTTACATTAATGCTTGGCAGAATTATTTCTGTCAGTTTCAATAGTTTTATATTCCCTGTGCCAATAATTACCAAAATCGGGGGACGAGTTTGACAATTAAAGATGGCCACCATTTCCTGTTTTGATTCCAGAGGATAGGTGATTGGTCTGGCAGGGTGTCGAAATTGTCTGAAGTTTGACGGGAAATCTTTTGAAAAAGAAGGAAAATTTGTCTTGAAAGATGCAGTCTGCCCTACAACCAGAAAGAATGGCAGCAAATTGGTCCAAAATTGTCTGGAAGAAATATAGAACCAAATTTGATTTATGTTCAAAAAAAAGTTGACACTATAAAGTGCCATAACGGAAGTCTAGGGATTTTGTCAGAAATTTGATTTAAAGATGTATATTTCAAAGTTTTAAGATGTAAGGATTCTTGTATTGGTCAGGGATGTTTTATTTTAGTATCATGTATCGTGGGAGATCGACTTTTGCTTTACTTTCGATCATTTACAAAATTTGTGTAAGGATTTATCTTAAAAATGAAACAAAAACCTCACCATTTTATTTCTTTACATATTAATCTATAGTTATTAAAAGTATTACCAATATTTCGATAGCCATGATCGCCAACGCGCAGTCATTTTGATTGTGTGCAATCAAGAGTGAGCTTCAGACCACTCTCTCTCCCAAGAATTTTGGTTTGATCCCCAGTGGTGGCGGAAAAAGAGAGTGATGTCTGATAGGGTTAGTTGTTATCCCTCCGATGGCATGGTGGTTTTCCCTCGTAGGTTTCCCTCCAACACGAAAAAACAACATTTGTTCCCTTAGTGGCCTCGTAATAAAAGCTCTACAGAGCTTAGATTTATCGTAAACAATGTGCACCACGTTAAATAAAGATTATTTATTTATTTTAAAATATAAACATACATAAAACAACTTCATCCCGATTGCCTGTTCGGTGTAGACTTGTTTTTACGAAAATTCATGATTTATGGTCAATGAAATATTCATGACCCTTATCATCCCCTGATCAGCAAACCCCACACGGATAGGGACGGAACTGTGATAAATCATTCCGCTTGGACCCGGATACGTCCAGTTTCATTACCATAAAGACATATGTACGGAAAATGTTAAAAACATTGTTTTAAAGTGTCCCTAAAACAACGTTTCGTTCGTTTTGCATGACAGCGGCCATTTTTAGTCCAAACATGTATTTTCTGTCGTCAGTCTTTAAAAAAAAAGTTGAAAGGTATTGGTATGAGTTTGATGTAAAAATATGATTAAGGATGACATAAATGTTTACTGTCAATTTTTTACAGAGATACAGCATTTGACTAATGGACGAACATTTCATTTCATTGTGGAGTGTTGTTTAAACAATAGGGTTGAACAGCAGGCTAAAAGGCTATATAAATTCTCTTAAATAAATTATAATTGTCGAGCCAAACAATGAACCAATAACTATAGTCGTGGTACAATTAATTAATACACCATCGACCAATCACTTGACATTCGGGGTAAAATAAAGGTTAATATTAAATTGTTTCAACAGGTTTGTGTCATTACTATTCATGATGTTTAATGAAAAACAATAACTGACCTTTTATTATTCTTGCCTGTTCCGATCTAATAAAGCAAAATATATTCTGGTTTTTATGCATGCATTGACACACTAATGATTAACAGATATAATTAGAATTAATTAAACAGTAAACATTGACATTGCAAATAAATATATATATTTTGAGAAGGACAGATAACTCTGTTGATGATTATAAGAATTTCGCTTTATTTGGCCCGAAGCTTTGATAGAGTAAATCAATTTACCGTCATCAAAGTAGAGCTTTGTCCTACAATATAACTGCCCAGGAATCAATCTTTCAGGAAGTGAAATGTTTAAAAACCTTTTCCCTCTCCTTTTAATGTAATTTAGCATTGAATTTGATATCCAATTTAAAGGAGGAAAGATCAATTTGTAATTCTGTTTCAAATCCAATTCACTGGAAATGAGATGTTTAGTCATCAAACAGTGGTTTTGGGTACAGCTGATTCTAGTAAGACTTGTATGTACAGTGGAACATTGTTAGTCTGGACACTTTGGTTTGAGTGTACAGTGGAACCTTGACAGTCTGGACACTTTGGTTTGTGTATACAGTGGAACCTTGTTAGTCTGGACACTTTGGTTTGTGTGTAGTGGAACCTTGTTAGTCTAAATACTTTGGTTTGTGTGTACAGTGGAACCTTGTTAGTCTGGACACTTTGGTTTGTGTATACAGTGGAACCTTGTCAGTCTGGACACTTTGGTTTGTGTGTACATTGGAACCTTGTTAATCTGGACACTTTGGTTTGTGTATACAGTGGAACCTTGTCAGTCTGGACACTTTAGTTTGTGTGTATAGTATTATATATATATTTCAAGATTTCTGAGGGCTGAGCAGGTTCAACTGTACGATAATCTTAATTAAAACCTTTTTTTTATAATTTGTTAAATTGAATTATCATGAAGTATCTAGGATTGCAAAAAAACACTGGAAATAAATTTCATTTGTAAAAAATGGATACCAAACTGTTTAATGCTAAGTTTGCAAAAGAAAAAATAAATAAATTGGAGGTTGATTGTACTTGCAGTATCCTTTAAATCAACTAGGTTTTCTTATTTCTTTTTGCCTTTCAATTTGGTTATTGATGTTAAGGTACTTTATTCACTGCTGAAATTACTTCTTAGTTTAATTAAATCCACGTTGCTGTTTTAAAAGCATTGTTAGCTTCACAAATATAATCTCAAATTTTATAATGATATTAAAATGTTGTTGTTTTTTATTTAAAATGTTGTTTTTTTATTTGATATGCTGTATCATTTTTTTATTAGGATATATTTTAATTTCAACATTTGTACAGTATAATTGTTTTTATGAATATTTGTGACATTATTACAAATGATAACTTTTTGTGTAATATGAGTGTAGGCTAACAAAACTTTCAAAACTACACCTAATATAGTTTCATCAAACACCCAAACTGATGTTTTTTAGTATGCAAACAGAAAACTTTATTGATTATGAAAGCAGCATTGTTTAAGAAAAATACATTAAAATTTTCCCCAAGATATTTTTACCAAGTTGAGTTCTTGTTACAAACTTTTATCAATATTGCCAACGGTGCTTTTATTGACGGAATAGAATGTCGGGGAAAAGTTAACTTGTAATTGTCAAGAGAATCAAACTCCGATTAGCCATTCAAAATTTTCCATTTGTAGTTTAAATTGGAACAAGTTTTATAACACTCCCGAGGTCTGTGTATTTATATGTGTATATAAATGTTATTACAGAATGGATCCAGCAAGGAGACTATGATTTGTCGCAGAATTTCTCAGAAATAAGTAACCATGGCGACGTTATGTCTGAAAGCAAAAATATATAGGTGTCAGACTTTTGGTGTGTTAACCTAAGGTTATGGGGATCATTGGTTATAAAAAGATCTGAGAAATAACAAGTGTCTTTAATTGTTTTGCAGACTTTGTTACATATATTAGGAACATATTAGATGGCAAATATGTTTTTCATTTTGAATACAAGTCACACACGTGCTTGAGTGACCACCTCTGTTAGGAGACCACCTTCTTTAAAACACTACCTGGATATAGAGATCACCTCTGTTATGAAACCACTTTTAAAACTCCCCATGGCAATGATTTTCCTATCAACTGAAACCTGTATTAAGAGACCTTCTGCAATGAAAAACAAGTTTATGTCCTTCCCGAGGGGTGGTCTCCAAATACAGTTTCAACTATTAACCTTTCTGAGAAATGTATTTATTACGCGCCAAGATACTAAAAAGTCAGAATTTTCTCCAAATTACATAGGGTCTTTTACCATAGGTAATATACAGACACTCAGCAAAAATCAATATGCATTGTCGTGTTCACAACTAACGATTTGTCGTTTCTCTTTTTATCCACAGATCTACACAGACTGGGCAAACCATTATTTGGAGAAGGCTCGTAACAAACGTTTCATCAGCGACCTCCAACAAGATGTCACTGACGGGGTGCTTCTTGCCGACGTAATTGAGGCCGTCAGTGAGTATATATTCTTAGATTTCGTATTCGTCTCCAGTGGGAAGGTTATTGTATCAATCCACACCGACTGGAAAGCCAGTCTCACTCTGATATAGAAGGCGGAGTCTCGTAAAAAGGTCAATAAATGCAGACTCAGCAGTATATTTCTTGTCTTCTCCCAAGTTTAATCAAGACATAAAAATATTTTCTCCCAGGATCACCAAATGGAGCTTGATCGGTGGAAAGAGGACAGGTGTATTTTGTCTTTTCGGAACTATAAAAATGGGTAGAAAGGTTGTGTGTACTCGACAAGTAGGAAAAGTTTAAATCACATGATTTATTCCCGACACTGGATCCAATCGGCAAAAACAAATGTTTGCATTATCATTACTTGATGTTAAGCGAGCTCTCTAGTAGACAGTTACTTTAATACAATAACTATTTTGTTAGATAGCTCACACTAATTAGCTCATTCATCCCTGTAGACACATTTAAACTCTTCCAATTCAAAGCCTGGAATAGTTCATTATGAAATTTACGGGGTGGATGAGTTAAGTCAATCACTTTAAAACAGCTTCTCTCAGGGATATTTATAATTGTGATAATAAATAAGAGCATGGAGATTATTAAACCTTTCATAAAAACCTTACCCAAACCAACAGCTCAACTTAGTTTAGTTTGCCTGTAAGCCATCACGCCATGCCATATTTTTGTCATTTGTCATTGAAGTCAATAGAAAGTTATGCATAACACTTTTAGTGATTACTTCTGATTTGTTTTAGTCTAGAGATAAAGTAGATTTTTCAAAGATTATCGCCCCCCCAGCCAAGATAAATTGGTATCGCTCCTGGACAGATAAAGATGATTCTCTTTTTTTTTTCCTGTGACATTCTCTTTTTTTTTTCCTGTGACAAGTATATAGTTAATTTTTGAAAAAAGTTGATGATATCCAATATTTCTGGTATTAATAATATACCTTGTTCAGCCCAAACGTTTTAAATAATCATGACACTATATTTATATATATTATTCAATAATGATGAAGGAAAAACTCGCTGACCTTTCAAATAATTGTCTGTCAAAATTAGTATCTCTCGTCGACAGATACAATTATTATCCCTTTTCCCCCCCTCTGACAAGCGTAATTTATTGAAAAAATTAATGATGTCTAATATTTCTGGTAATAATAAGATACCTTGTTCAGCCAAAATGATCATGTAAGAATATTTATATATATTATTCAAGACTATTATGAAGGAAAAACTTGCTGACCTTTGAAACAAATGTCTGTCTGGTTCCCCAGTATTGAGGGTTGTATAATTGTTGGCTGTGTGTGTTTGGAAGGTTAGAAGGTACAGCTCCAGACTGGCCGCTCCTGATTGCTTTCTGAAATCCTTTGACCCAGCAGTGAGAAGGTAGATCAAGGACTGACTGGCTTGGTTTCAGACTCTGACAGACTGAGCATTCTCGTCTGGTCCTCGGGGCTTTTTAGCTATTTTTAAAAGGACCTTGACCAGAAAATTTAGGAAGAATTTGTTGACATTAGTGAAAAAATGAGAGAAAAGAATACATCTGATATATATCCAGTAAACCTGTCTAAACTGAATGCCACAGGGGTCAATATAGACAGGTTCTTGGATTAATAATTCTCAATTATTGATCAATTATTGCAGAAACAGGCCTCTGTTCACATTTTTTTTTTAGATTAAACAGGGTTCAGTTTCCACAGGTTTTAAGATAAAAAGGGGTTCTGTTCTCATATGTTTCTACAGTGTTTCTACAGGTTCAATGATTAAACAGAATCCTGTTTTCACAGGTTTTTAGATTAGACAGGTTTCTGTTCCCACATGTTTCTAGAATTTAAATAGAATTCTGTTTCTACAGGTTCTACAGGTTTTCCAGATTAAATAGAGTTCTGGTTCTACAGGTTTTCCAGATTATATAGAGTTCTGTTTCTACAGGTTTTCCAGATATTATAGAGTTCTGTTTCTACAGGTTTGAGGATAAAACAGGCATCTGTTTCTATATGTTAAAAGATTTAAAAGGATTCCATTTCCACATAATTCTAGATTATGCTGTGTATGTGTGATAAATTTATCAAGTGATTTAACTGGAAGGGATCCAGGAGTTGTTTGAAGATACTTATGTGACATTTAGCTGTGAAAATGTGATAGCATGAATTGGGGGTAAAAAACCAATGCTGCATTTAGTAAAATGTCACCCACTAATGATAGGAAATCTTGTTGATGTGGAACTATATTCAGAAAAAAGATTTTCTTTCTTAACAGCAATTAGGCTTACTAGCTAACATGAATTATCTTCAAAATTCATTTTAATTGTAAAACAGAAATAAACAAACAAATGGGGTTTACTTATGGATTATTTTCTCTTGCATATAGCATTTATCAGGAGAAGGGGAGGTAACTCTTATTGACTTTATAGCAGACGAGTTGCTTTGACCCATGTTACTTTTATTGATGATCAATACAGCTAACGACAAGTACCCACATCATTCACCGATATAGTAAACAGTCGGATCTATCAGTCGATAGTGAATGTCTCGCATGAAACATGTTACGTCCAGATCAAAACCAGCCCCACACACCAGCCGGGCTAATAGCAATTATTACTCACACAGAAGTAGGGAGGGGGGTATGTGTGTTTTCTCAACGAAGATATGTTGTGTATCAACCTAATTGGAAACATTTGTCTACCACACCTGGGTGATGGGCCCATCTTTAAACGATTTGTGTAGAAGCTTGTTTGAAGTCGTCTATAGCGCTAATTTGTTACGTTCCTGCTCTGTTTACAGTTTTTCGTCATTTGTAAGATTTTCAGTTTTTTAGCGGAATCTCCGTGGATTGTAGCATTCCAGATTCCAATTCTTTTCAAACAAGATGAAGGCACCTGGAAAATGTTTCGGCCATAATTTTTTAATTAGAGTCTGTGTATTAGATCAAGGGATGAGTCAGACCTCGTTTAGGCATACGGTACTTGTTCCGAGGTCTGGAACAATCTTTTTTGACATAAGCAATTACACCCAAGTGTAGGAGTCCAAAAATGATTCATATTCGTAAAGATACATAAAGAATTATCGTGTTCATTATTTTGATATGCAACACAAGCCATCTTTTACAAACAAAACAGTACTACTGGTACATATAAAATATTTCACATGAAAAATGCATTTCTGTTTTATGATTTCATGATTGAGTTGAAAACAGTCAGAATGATTTTAAAAATACAGAGTGGTTTCAAGAAACACTAAGATTTGTATCTCAGCTTAACTCATTCACCCCTGAAGACACATTTGAGCTCTTCCAATTCAAAGGTTGGGATAGTTCATTATGAAATTTCAGTGGTGAATGAGTTAAACTGAGGAGGCCACTTAAGCGTTTATATATAATCTTGATGAGCTGATGAAATGAAGTCTGGTTAGGTTATTTGCTGGTACACATGTACTTGAGAAGAAGAAGCAGTTGGTGTCACTTTTCAATATCTGTTTGATTTAATTTGTACATGAACAAGATTTTATGAGAAAGTGCTCACAAAGATAACCGTTAATAAAGACACTGATGATCCTAGATTGACTTTAAGGGTCACAGATAATATTTTCTCTAAACAGAAATCTTTTTGAAAATAGCAATAATTGCTCCATTTTCCACCTACTTGAAAAGAAAGTCGTTTTATATTGGGAAAAAATTATCTTAATATCAATCTGCATTGCTATCTGTCTATATCTGTAAGATTTTAATAGACTATAACAGTTCCGATAGTCAGTATCACTTAAATGCTTGCTGATAGTCTGCTTCCCTTGAGTGTTTGACAGATAAGGAGCTCTGCAGTGTTTTTATGTAGTTCCATTTGACTTAGATTTATTCAGATTGTAATGTTTCTGTATGTATTTTCCACTCTATGCATATGCACGATGTGTATAGCATTTAATCAGAATGAGAGAAAAAATAAGACAAGCGATTACCATATCAAAACTTTTAAAAAGGATGGTGAAAGATTCATAAAAAACTTCTGAGCAGCCGTTTCATTTTATTGACTGTTGTGATTGTATACATAAAATCTAGCATTTCATGAAGACAAAATGTATTAACATTACTTAAATACTGATATTTAATGTTAAGAATCACCAACTATTTGTTAAAATAATGATTAACCAAGATGCAGCTCTAGTAAGCAAGATGTTAATCGTAGCCATATTTGTCTGTTTTCAACAGTCACCTCCCCTCTGTCTGCAAGGACATGATTGCAGTGCTGTATACCTGCAGACTGAGGGATTTGGCTTCAATGTAAAATTATACAGTTATTAGCATTGGAGATCATATTTTGGCATAGCTTAATGGTGAATCTTTATAAACAATGTTAATTTTAATATCACAACTCAAGTTCAAAAGTTACTGTCAAGAATGCATATATATAGCCTTAATATTGTTTTCAAAGGTCAAAGGTCAGACTGAACCTACTGGATATCAGTTTGGATCAGATAAATGTCAAGGTCAAGGTCACAAACCAGAGTTTATCAGTAATCTGAAAAGCAAAGGTCATGTATATGTCAAGGTTATAATTAAGATACATTTCATAGCTAGGTCAAAGGTCATCAGTAGGGGGACAAGCCACACCCTCAGAACATTGATATGATGTAAGTAAGGCAATGCTAGACTATCCACTAATATTATTGAACTTGTAACTGTATGGAATGAGAAATAGAATCTTGTAATCTTACCTGCCTACCTTAGAAATTAAGATTTCATCCTTGAACAGATACAATTCAAAACATTGTATAAATGAATTAAAGACTTTATCAGCTAGGTCATTTACTGCACTTTGATAAACAGGTCTAGTTGCAGCAGTTGAAACTTACATCATCGGTACTGTAAATGCTTGTGCATGCTTCGTCAATTTTCTTTCCCAGAAAAAAATAATAGACGTCCAAATGGATTGGCTTCATATTTTGGTAAGTCTAGCCGGGAAACGACAAACAATAATTGGATTGACAGACTTTTATTATT